TATATATATATATATATATATACACACACACACACACACATGCATAAAATGCTATCAATCACCAATACAATGTTCAACTAAATTAATAATATATTATAGTTAAGTTATTAATTTAATAAATTAATCAAGTTAATATAAAATTATTTATATAACAAATTATAATGCACCTATGAATAATTATCAAATACACGAAAATCTCGCTCACCTCTCCTTTGGCGATAAAATCTTCTATAGCTTCTACTGCATCTTTGAATGCTCCAGATTTGCTAGATTTCACTAAAGTATCCTTATATTCTTGATAGGGTTTAATGTGGGATTCTTCTATCCATGCGCTACAAGAAAGAAACATAATTGAGAATCATAAATCATAGTAACATTCTATGAGTAAAATGAGATAAACAATTTAAAAATAGAACTTACTAATTGTTTGTCCCAAAGAAGAAGATACATTGTACTGGTCCCTTTTTAGCATTCGCGGGTTTCTTCAAGTCCTTTGAAGGAACTGATACCTTTACATGCATTATAACATCAATATATAAGTACTGAGAGAATTATAATTAATATTATATAATACTAATAATAATCGTAATATTTATTTTATCACAATACTAATAATAATCGTAACATTTATTTTATCATATACATCTTGAATTCAATTTCAATTTACAATCCATTTTAAAAACAATATCATTGAAAATAATATCAAAATTTTACAAAATAAAAATAATATATTTATTAAAAAATTAACATTAAAACAAAATATATTTTACATTCTACACAATTATCGCGTGTACAAATCATTAGGTATAAACTTTTAATAATTTTAGTGCATTTTAAAATTAAGAAAGACAAACCTATCACAAATAAATTTCCACCATTTTGCCATCTGCAAACGCTATATTTTAATTACATGTCATCTTTCTCTTTATATTAAGATTAAACTTTCCTAGAGTCATATCCAGATTGTTCCCAGATAGAATATGGATGTCATAATAATATAGGATGTCTCTCTCATTATAATCTTATTTGTCACTTACAAGTAAATTTATTGGTACTATATAAGTAAACTTTAAGTGATAAATGTAATAAGGTCCTATGGTACCGTACTATTATAACTGTTCTATCTGAGCGTTGATTGTGTATTTTGAAATAAAATGAAAATTACAAAAGTGAGCAAAATTACTAGAATATCTATAATGACTAATGCCTAATGAATTTGCCCACTTTTGTAATTTTGATTTCATTTTAAAGTACACAATCGACCCCCTGGATTGATAATTCACCCTAATATTCGTACGGCCCTACCATGCACGGCGGTTACCGCGTAAAAACAACCTCCAAAGAACTGCGGGAGTTATTCGTTGAACCTTCCTAATCCTAAAATATTCTTTCTCCTATCTTCTCTCACATACTCTCGCATGACAGAATAAGTCTGAGAAGATATTCATAATCCGATCTTATGTTCAAGCCATCTCAAGTCATAATCAGTTTTATAATTTGATTCAAACAATAACGCGCAACATCTATATATAAATAATATAACGTCTCAAGTTCGTAGGATATTTTTGATTGTAATATCGGAATATGATTACCGGCCTCACTAAAAACGTAGAAAATGCATCGTTGACAACCTCGAGATCCTGGCGTAATCACAGACCGTTCGCCCGACACGCCGCTGACGTCACACGCGTTTCCGCCAATCAGAAAGGGGGAGATGGATTACGCGGGACAAATTCTGAAGTCTTGGCGACAGCAGAACGTCCAACGGTACTGGTCGACCCACGAGAAATTTCGAAACCTACAGCGGGAATAGTGGGAGAGGAGACCCCATCCTGCTGGGAGTTCGACGAACGTGGAAAGTAGATCCACGGGAGGTTGCAAGAGATTTAGGTTATAAGCCCCCGCGGCTTGCGCGCCAATTTGAATTCGAAGGTCGGGTGTGGCGGGAGACAGCGCTGCTCTGTACGACGCGATATGCCGCGGCCAGTGGCGTCGACAGCTGGTGCATTCCGTCGCGGCGACGAACGTCGACGGGGCAGAACGACGCGAAAACCGCCAAATACGAGCGCGCGCGCGCAGAAGCAATGTTAACAGGAAGAGAAGCGCGAACTCGCGTCACGAAGCTTAGTAAGAATCGAGGGGAGGGGGACTCCACTTACCCGGCCGGGCCACGGCGAGAATCCCTTCATCTTCGCCCTGAAAGTCAGAAAAAAAAGATGTACCACATGAAATTAGATTGTACGAACGAACACGGAGTATACGATTGCGTTATCGCGCGCACTTGAAATACGCACCATACTAGATCACCCAGTTTGAATACTTCCGACATCGCGAGGACGATGAACAATGCTCGACAAGTTACTCCGAACGTCAGCGAGCGACTGACTTGCATGTGAAGCGTCGTTTCTGCACGACGACATGACCGCAAGCCGCGCCATCTATGCGTCCTCCTTTCGATCTTCCCCTCCTCTCCCCCCTCACCATGCCACTTTACTTTTCGCTAGTCGACCGAGATGCAAATAGATAATATTTCTGTATATAACGTGAAGAAATAAAAGCGATGTTCTTTATAAAAATATTATGTCACAAAACTTCATGAAAAAAAACGACGAGAGGTTATTAAGATTGTTTTCCGGCGTGCCGCGCTACTTCCGGCGGCTAGAGTCCCGTCCTAAAGGACGTTCTATTGCGAACATCTGTCGCCAGTCGCAATGCTTCTCAACAGCCAATCAGAAACATCAATAATTGCTATTGGCGCTTCTGAGAGTTTGTTCGCGTTGCATGCTCCAACATGCTCCAGTCATAGTTCCTATTCACTCTAATGAGCGCATTGGAGTGAATAGGAGCTATAATAGGAGTATATTGGAGCATGTTGGGCATGCGACGCGAACAAATTTTGAATGCTTTTCATTTAGTAACTCCGGATTTACAATAGGTAATTTTTAAACCTTAAGTCGTAAGAAATTGACCAATTACAGTTGAATGCGAGGAGAATAATTGATTATGATCCATCTTGTTCCTTATGCTTCCTTATGGCTTAAGGTTTAAAAATCTATTGTAGATTCGGACTAATGTATAATTAAAAAGCACAGGCAATAATATGACATACTTAACAGATTTCAAGAAATTTATTATTCCCTATCCCTATTATTTGTATTTTTCAATTATCTCTCATGGGCCTTCTACAATAAACCATTAGTCATAAATCAGAAGTCAGAAGCTAAAAATTGACCAATCACAATCGTCAGTTTTTAATTTCTGACTTCTGATTTATGACTAATGATTTACCTATGGCTTATTGTAGAAGGCCTATAACAAGCTGTCGTTCAATTATAACAGTGGAATACTCGATTGTAATTGGTTGGTTCTTACATTCTGATCCGGATTAAACCCTCGGTGGAAATTAAACCCCTGTTAAGCCGTTCTACATTAGTTGCAAGCCGATCGCAAGTTTGTTGCGACAGCCAATCTGAAGCTTGCATTTTAAAATCAACACTTCATATTGGCTATCGCTACAAACTTGCGATCGGCTTCCAACTAATGTAGAACCAGCTTTATAAAAGTGTGTGCGACAGTCCTAAAGGAATATAAAAATATACTTATATTGAAAATGATCGCATTTAGTCAGTAAAATAGCAACTTTAAGAAACCAATCACAATTGAATGTGAGGAGAAAACTCGACTATGATTGGTCAATTCCTTAAGGCTTATTATACCTGTTTATCTTTTTTTTTTGTGTAATAAGTGTCAACTCGCAACTAACGACTGTGACTAACCAATCGTCGCTTGGCATTCCATGCCATCCTATCCGAATTTCTAGATATTAAAAATATGATGTTTGTAACCGCTGTAAATTTGATGATAATGACTGATGATAATGAAATGAATATTTGCAAACATAGAAAAAAAGGAGAAAGAAGAGATGAATAAATTCAGTGCGATTGGAACCTGAGGAACCTACGGTCCCGTAGATCGAGAAAATGATAGACGTCACTCCAGGACGATCGCCAGCCGTCACGTCGATTACGATTTATTAGCAATACCAGCTGTCAAGGCATCGATTGCGAGCGCTTTTTACCGTTTGTCTCGGGCTCGAGCAGGTCTCGCGTCCTGTAAACGCATACCCGTCCTCTCAGGAAAAGTTCTCGCGATTTATAGTCTCGTAATTACGTCGTGCAAATCTGATCAGAAATGGACAGTAACGCCCGTCATAATACGGTATGTCTATCCTATGACGAGACTGCTGTGGTTTCGCCTTCATCAAGAGCACCTCTCGGACATGCTTTTCTATTCGCACAAAATACTTTTTATTGTTACGTTGACAAGTCTGTGATCGTCAACGTGTTTTCTTGCGCGATCGTAGTCTGCTTTGTCTCGTCTCTTGCATTGTTTTCATCATTCTTGTGCGCAAAAATATCATATCAGTGATCTAATTTTCACCGAAGTCTTAATTCACGTCTAATGCAGCGTAGAACCAAAATTTAAGTCAATAAAAATGCATCTGACTATGCTCACTTCACTGTCGCTTCGATTCACAAGATCTTTACTTCTAACGGAAACATACTGCACCAAAGTGAAACCGATTGACGATTTCGATGGAAACTAAACTACTGTTATCTATGATCCAGAAAAACATGTAATAATAGTTGCTTTTCATTTACACTAAAACTTGGATAATTCTTATTTATGAAATCATAACTCAGTTGAATGGATGTTCCTTTTCATTCTGACAAGTTTAGATTCAACTTAATTTTTATCTACAATTTATATGAGTTTGAGACTACGTGTTTTACTGAATCTTATTAAATCACATTAAAAAGAGATTATAATCTTGTGTTATTATGCAATAACTTTATTACTAAGGTAAGCAAATGATATCACTATCTCAATACAACATAGTCATAACTATACTTATTATTTGAATAAAAATTGAAAGCAATCAATATGTACATTTTGATTACAAAAATATTTATTAGTTATTCTTGCCGAAGGCACAACGTTCAAAGGATATGCTTTACTTTTTTTTTTATGATAGTGATGTGTAGAAAGTGATGTGAGTGTTATTCTATATCTGTTACTCACTTGAATGTCATGAAAGATATAATGATGTTTGTAACAACTTGAGTCACTAAATGGAAAGCATTCAATACTTTGTGAAGTATATGGATTTACTGACATTTGTTTTATGCATTGTTTCACAGTCACCTCAAGCAGATACTGGTGGCGAAACATCAAATCAAAACGAAATTCCTACGGTTACTGTAGCAATGCCATTTATGCAAGTTGACATGCTTGGACATTCTGGAGCGTCCACTGCTGCACATTCTATAACGACAAACCGAATGGTAATATATTGTAATATAACATAATAAACTTGTTCATTGTAACTGTATTGAACAGTATATTAGTTATTTTAAAAATGGAATAGATAGAAAGTTTTAATATAGTTTTAGAACAGACAACATACAAAGGACGAGCCCATTATTACATAATATTACATAAATTATATTATTACATCAATTTTATATAATTTATGTAATGTTTTATGTAATTTATATTAATTTAACAATATACAATTTAACAAATGTAATATTTGACATAAATGCATATAAAAATTACGTAATATTACATAATACATAAAATATGTTCAATTTTATATGATTTGAATAACTATTAACCGAGTAAAATTATTTAGGCTGATGGGGAAGAAATTCCACCTCCGAAACTAGATTTCTCTGCACCACCACCTTATGAAGTAGCTACAAAATTACCCAGTTATGAAGAGGTTCAGCGTGAAAAGACTCTACAGGGAGAGCCACAACCTCAAGTACACATGGTATACAACTGTATTTAAGAAAATTTTAATATACGTGTCTATATTTCGAAATATTCTGTTTCTAAGAAGCTCTAAATTTCTTTTTACAGCCAGGAAATATTAGACCACCACAACAGCCTTTAACAATATTGGCAATAGATACTGAAGCTGCGGAAGGAGATCCAGAAAGTGGGCTACTTGGCACAGATTTTATGTTCTTCACAGCGTTTCTTGGTGAGATATCTTTATATTTTAAATTAAAGTTTAAATCAATAAGAATTTAGTAAGAAAATATATCTTCATATTCTACAAAATCTATAATAATATTTTCCATAATGACAATTTGTACTAATTTATCTTTACAGTCGCATTTTTATTCAACTGGATCGGATTTTTATTACTGATGTGTTTCTGTCACACTATTGCTTCTCGTTACGGTGCACTAGCTGGCTTTGGACTGTCTCTTACAAAGTGGACACTCATTGTTAAACACTCTACCGATCTTGCTTCGCGAGAGAATTCATGGCTGTGGTGGTTGATAATGGCATTTGGTTAGTATAACGTTTAAGAAAGATAATTAAACTTACAAACGAAAGATATATTATATATTTTAAACTTACAAACGAAGACAATTACTAAGAAGATAAATTTTGATGCGATTTATTTTTCCAGGTGTTCTAATTTGTGTACGTGCCATCATTCAATATTTAAACATCAAACGAGGATGGAGGTTACTCTCTGGAAGCGCACAGGAGCGTTTACTTTTTTTCTATTAAAAAAATCTGCACCTTTTTTTCTTTATCAACTTGGCTTTAGAACAAACAAGCATTTCTATGTGGGGTCATATTTGTATAATATATAATCGACTTTCTCTCTTAAGAGAGAGCATCGTGTAGATTGTAATATCTGTCAATCGTATCTATATAGAAGAAAAATGAGAATTTTAAAATGATTTGCCAAATTTACTATATGAAACGAATTAGTACAATTTAAAAAAACGACGAAAAGAATTAGCTCGTTTTTCGCATATACTCGTATATGGAGGACCTACAAACGCTTTTATGTGATGTTATTTTATGTGATGTTATATATAGACTATGGAAAAAAGAAAATGTACATTTTTATTGCTCAAAATGATACGAACAATGCTTTAAATTAATGATTTTATTCATTTTAAACGTTGTTCATTTTAATGCAGTCACATGAAGAAGATAAATGTGCAGAGCGCATGTCAAATCGTAAATTATTAAAAACTGATAAGTCAAAATGAATCGCGTTAAGAGATAAAATATACGATTCGTTATTATTTCGAAAAAATAAATTATAAATAAAAGTTTTCTAATAGAATATAATACATTTCTAATGTTAGGAAAGCTTCTAGAGATTGACTATTTACTAAATATGATAAGTATATTAATATCTGGCTTGTTTATATAGATATTATAATTTATATATATACATAAAATATATATAGCGAGAATTCTTATTGAGGAAGAATTCTGAAAATATAAATAAAAATGATAAATATTACATGTGTATTAAAATTTATTATATATGCGAGTACATGTTATTCTGTGAGAAATTTCATTGTTATACTCATTACAACGATAAAACGAAGGAATATTTAGAATTTTATATTTTCTCCCCCTCCTTATGTTACAAAAATCGTAGTTTTTTGAATTTTGAAAAATTCTTGAACATAGGATATTAGGAAAATTGTTAGAATGGATCATTTAAAAAAAAATGGTTTGATAAATATACATATTGTTACCAAAGTTATGTATAAATATATTAAATTATAATTGATATATCAATTTATTAAACAATTCTTAACTCGATCTTTTATACATGTGTTAGAATTAGAATTTAAATTGTTCAGGTTATTAGAATAACTTAAAATTAATTCATAAGTAGTATTAATATATGAATGTTTTCTGGGACATTAGATGTCTTTTGATAGTTTTATAAAACATATTAAAAAAATTTTTAAATATCTATTAGATTAGGTTTAAAAAGATGACTAAATGTGTGTCTGTTAGATTATTTTAAAAAGTTAATTATGTTTTCAAGAAAATTATATATATTTATTTCGTACATTTTAATTCTGGAAAAGGATTTTCAAATCTGTAAAAGAGAAAAAAATAATTGCCATACACACACACAAATTATTGCGTTTAGTCGGTATAATATCATCGATGAGAATATATCTCGTCGGTGGTAATACAGACGCTTTTAGGATCGCCTTAAGTCTTCGCTAATTAAAACTTGGATCTGCGTTAACTGAGATTCGAATTTCCGCTAACTAAGGTTTAAATTTTTATTGACATTGAACGAGGTTGAGTCTTCACTAAATCTATTAATATAAGCTATCTAATATATTGTTTCACAAGAGGTCCCATGGTGTAATGGTTAGCACTCTGGACTCTGAATCCAGCGATCCGAGTTCAAATCTCGGTGGGACCTAATCTTTCTTTTTTGAAACTACAATAATTTTTTATTAATATTCAAATAGTAATATTTTTAAAATAAAAATAAAATAAATATTTTATTTTTATTTTATGTGCATACAGTTATATATATATAATTATATATTCACTTCAAATGTAATTAAAATCACGCCTTATTATAGGGAAGTGATTTTTCTAGTTTTTATTGAGAATAGCAAAGCAATATAAGTATCAAGAATTTATATGCAATATTTTATATTTATATTTTTCGTAATCAGAAACAAAAGTATAATGAAAATCTTGTTAATATAAATAAAAAGGAATAACATAAAATAAATTAAAACATGATTTATTGTTAAATATCATACATATGTTACAAAATGATTTCCACTTGAAGATGTTGTGTGAAAATAAACGAACTTTTCAGTTCAAATTAAAAAACTCTATTAACTGTGTTCTTAGAAAGTATTTTTATTCTGTTTTGGATTTATCCAAAATTTATCGTTATTTAAATTTATCTGATCCAGGTTCTTACTCTTGTATGTGGTATAATTTTAATTATACAAATTAAACGATCTATAATTTTCCTACAAAAATTTTTATTATACAAAAAATTTATACGTTATATTTTACGTGAGTAAAAGTGATAAGTCATTTTGCATAATTCAATCTCATGAAATTTTCGAATTTATTTTTGCTATTAAAAAATCTTTCACAAATCAGTCGAATTGCTGCGGTTAAGTTTCCATGTTAAAATATTATCATCAAAATGATTAACTTATTGTTCGACCTATATTGTTCGAGAGCAGGTGTGTATCAAGCAACTCAGGATTCCCCAGGAAGAAAGATAACACAACAATCGACAAGGACGACAAGTGCGAGTAACATTGCATTCACGCTGCGACATCGTGTACGTCAAATTTGCGGGAGAGATAAGAATCTCACCGCGGTAATCATACCAAGAAGGAAATAATATGAAACAACCTTCAGAAGAGAATAAAAGCAGTTTGTTCAATGAGGACAACCCTGTGGTTTTTCTGGATGTGGCGATCGGATCTGAAAAAGGTATGAATAGCAAGGTTATGCCAAGTTATGCTCGGTGCAAACACCGACTCACGGTCTTATTGTTTTTCAGTGGGAAGAGTTGTCATAGAATTGTTCAAGAATGTCGTACCACGAACTGCGGAGAATTTTCGTGTTCTGTGTACCGGCGAAAAAGGTGCCGGATTGAAGGCTCCAAAACTACATTACAAGGGAACTATCTTTCACAAAGGTGCGCATTACCGTGTGATCATGAGTGTTCAATTCCCTACAACTTTCCTTGTCATAATTCTAAGGCCTATAAAAATATTTCTAAACCTTGCTATCTTAAATACTTGTATGTTCCTTATTTATCTTTTTGAAGCTGGATATAATTAGAATTCTTTTGCTGATGAATAGAAATAAAAATATTTTTCATTTGATGATTATCTATCGATAATACAAATCAACATAGCATGTTCTATCTTTGTTACTTATTGGATGTCAACAAAGATAGACTGATGTTTGTATCGAATTACGTCACTAATGTCCGTTTCTACTAATTTAATTTTAATCTTGGTTCAACTAACTCTTCATCTTTTTCTAGTTCTAAGAATTAGAAAAAGATGAGAAGCAAAACCAAGATTAAAGTTAATTTACATTAGTAGAAACAGACATAATAAATGGAATTAGGCCATCCAATGGAATCCAAAGATTAATTTATTATGACATTCATCTGTCATATATACATATTTATCATTTTAGCCAAAACTTTTGGAAATATAAATTATTTATTTATTTATTTATTTTTAGAGTAAATAGAGTTAAAATTTGATTTATGACAATTGACTCATAGGTTGCATCGTTTGTCTTGCTTAAAATGTGGTTTTACAATGAGTTGATAATTGAAAGTCTTAATCTTAGTCGTCTAAATTGGCCAATTTCTGATTAAAACTTAGGATTAGGATTTCCGATTATTGACTCACTGTAGAATCTACGTAACATTTGATAATAGAAGGTTGATAATAGAGATTTGTTCGTGTCACATGGTCCAATATGCACCTATCGCAATTTCCCTCGAGCCCTTTTTATTTATTTTTTAATTGCATTGAAGTAAGTAAGAACTATGATAGAAGTATGCGACACGAACAAATCTAAAGATAATTCTAAGAGCTTTATGAGCGTGAATCGGACCACAGCCATACATGTACAATGTATTTGTCGAGTCACCACTTTAATTTAGAGATCTATTCTTTATTTATACTAATTGTACTTAAAATGAAATGGATATATATATTTTTTCGAAATTTAACAAAAACGAGATAAAAAAATTTTAATGCAATCTAGTGCAATAGTTTAAAGAACAAATGTTTTGAAAATATGGATCATTTATTCTTTTTATTTCTTTTAAGAATGGAATAGAAATTTATTTTTTAAGACATACACATTTATACACACAGCATCATACATATGTAATATTATATTACTACAGTTATTTCACAGTTCATGATCCAGGGTGGTGATATTGTTAATTTTGATGGAACCAGTGGGGAAAGTATTTACGGTTCTTACTTTAACGACGAGAACTTTAAATTGAAGCACAACTTCCCTGGACTACTTAGTATGGTGAACGAGGGAAAGCCAAACACTAACAGTTCTCAATTTATCATTACCGTTCAAGCGTCCACGCACCTAGACAACACTCATGTAATATTTGGAAGGATTATAAAAGGCATGGGTGCAGTGTTAGAGCTCTGTAAAGTACCGACTGAAAACGACATTCCAGTTGATGTAAGGCTGTCCTTTAAATTACAAAGCTGATAATTTCCTGGAATTAGCTTCATGATTGATTTGTTTTTAGAAAATAAATATAGTTGACTGTGGAGAATTGAAAAAAGGTGAAAATTGGGGATTAGAAGAGAACGATGAGTCTGAGGATGTTTATACGCCATGGCCAGAAGATTGGGATTATTCTAAACATATTAACAAGCTCACTGTAAATTATCATTCATATATATATATATATATCATTTCTGAAAATTATTACTTACGTACTGATATTAATCTAAATTATATCTTAATTTGAATATATAATATTAAAGCTAAATTATATCTTAATTTGAATATATATGTTTACGTTTTTAGCACAAATTTATGGAGGATGTAATAAGGAAAATAAAAGATTCTGGAAATAGTTATTTCGCAAAGCAAAATTATGTGGATGCTAATAGAAAATATAGGAAAGCATTACGATATTACAACTGGATGAGCAAACAGAACAACATGTCGGATACATTTTATACCTCACTGGTGGATCTTAGATTAACTTTGTTACTTAATTTAGCTGCTGTACGATTAAAGCAGAAAGAATATCGTAAAGTCATAGGTCTTTGTAATGAGGTAAGTAAATATTCCGTGAGAAAATCAGAAGTAATGCATTTATGCCCTAATACACATGTTTAATTTAGATTCTGGAAACGGATAACACAAATTGTAAAGCATTATTTCGAAGAGCACAAGCTTATACTTCCTTGAACGAATATGAATTAGCATTAAAAGATTTGCATCAGGCATCGGATGTGTGTCCTGATACGATTATCTCAAAGGAAATAAAAAAAGTAAAAGAGATGGGAAAAGTTTATTTAGAATTAGAAAAAATCACGATATATATGTATGTATGTATGTATGTATGTATGTATGTATACATGATAAAATGATAAAATTTTGTACGTTTTTATTTTTAGATATTAAATATGCATTAATATGATATTAATTGCATCGACATCGATTGATTGTAAACAATTGAATTAATTTACTATTGAAATTCATAAGTGTTAATACAAGATCAAAAAAATTCGATCTCTTCTTATTAATACAAGAGCCACATGTATCATTTTTTCCTTTTTAAATAACTCATTGTCAATTTCAGTCAATTACTCTAATCAATGTTGAAATCAATATTCAATGTGTCATAACAATGTACAATGTGTCATAGTACTTATTAACGATAAATGTACGAAGATATTAATTATCTGTATTTATATATACTTTTTTAAATATATTTCTATCAAAAGCGCAATAAGACTAAGTAAAAAAAAAATACCTCAAATGTTTAATATTCAGGCAATAATATATGTTTAACTCTGGCTGTGTA